GAAGAATACTGGACCAAAGGAGGAGTAACAACCGATTGGAAATGTTTGATAGCAGCTTGTTTGATATCTGAAGGATCAGTAAGTAATGTGGGTTTGGAGTCAATAACAACTAAAACTCTATCAAGAACGATAGAACGATGTTCCACTGATAGGGCTGAAGAAATAAAGGAACCCGGAGACGTAGAGAAATGTTCATCTCTAAGAGCAGTATAATATTCAATGGAATCCACACGATGTTGATGAAATTGCGTGGAAAGATAAGCAGAGACCAAAGCTTTTTGTGAACGCAAAAATTTGACAAAAGTGGGAATTGGTGTCGTACTATAAGAAGGTATAGTATAATCTTTTAAAAGAGATTTAAGGAGAGTTAATTGTGTAGGTAAAGAATTAATCATTTGTGAAATTTGAGCAGGACGACTAGACCTAGAAGTGGTCAATTTGAACAATAATCTATCCAAAAATTTGTTGATAACAATAAGCATTGTAAGTTCTGGAGAATATTTATGGTGATGAGTATTGGATACATGTTGGAATGGTAGAGAATCAATGGCACCACCAAGAATAGAACGTTTAAGAGCATGCCAGAGTTTGTCCAATGAAAGAGCTGAAAGTGAAGATACTGAAGGGTGGTGTGTGGTCAAATATAACTCAAGACGTGAGTTTACTTCATTGGAAAATTTGTCCCAAGTATTTTCTTTCAAGTTCTTGTAAAGAAAGATGGTACGTTGTTCACTTTTCTGCTTTAATCGAGCTTTGGATAAAATAGCGAAACATGAGCTAAAGTCAAAGGCCGTTATAAGTACACGGTGATCAGTAAATTGATTATCATTCAGCTTAGGACAAGTTTCAACTTGAGAGAAAAGACCAGGAGCAGGAAATCCAGGGGATGACCAAATATAATCAAGTCTTGAAGAACCATTCTGATAATAAAAGGTAGGACTAGGACCTGAAATTGAAGAGATATGGGATTGATGATCCGTAAAATATCGAGAAGAAAGTGATCGTAAAATTTTTAAATGATGTTGAGGAAGATGTGAATGTGAAATTTCATCTGCATTAAAATCACCAAGGATGACAACGTGATAGTTATTGGAGCGGGCTTTATCAAGCCATAAATTAAGTTGGGCAAAAATAGCATCACGTTCTTTGTAATGAATAGAATGATAAGGAGGAATATAAACAGAAATAATAGAAATTTTTGTTTGATGAAAAAAAAGATCTAGTTTTAATAAACGACCTTTCCAAGGATCAATCTTCTGAACATGTTTATGTAAAGGATGACGAAGTAAAAGACCAACACCGTCATGAGGCCGTGAATTAGAAGGGGAGGGAGCCCAATAGGACTTAAAATTATATAGGGAATGTTCATTTTGATAAATAAATTTAGCACCAGAGAAAGTAAGACGAGTATCATTTAAAGATAAAACGCCAAAAGAAGAATGGAGAAAATAATTAAGCAAATGTAATTGTCTAACCGGAGAGCACAAACCATTAACATTGATTTGTCCAAAGTTAATAAGAGGGGAAGAAAAAGAAGGGGAAGAGGGATTATTAGAACTATTATTATCAGGAATCGCACTATTAGGGGGGTGAAATCCCTGTGATGCACCCGATATAAATTGGTGTTCAATCATTGGAAGGGAAGGGTTTTGAAGGAGAGAAGGAGTCCAATTTTTCCATAATTGAACCAAGTTGGGCAGAAAGATTCTTTTGTGTAGTAGTAACATTAAAAATTTCTGATTGTAAACAAGAAGTGTTAGCGTCGGGGGTGATATTGGTAGGTCGGGAGACAGGTAAGGGGACATGTCGTTTTGATAGGACGGAGTTAGGATCCAAAGCTGAGAAGGAAGCATCAGGAGAAACGTCCATAAGAGAAGAGGAAGTATGGGGAGGAAGGTTGAATCCAGAATTTGTGTCATGAGTTGAACCATCCATTATTATAAGAATGATCTTGATTTTCATGATCATCACGAGGCGGATACAAATCAGAGTCACCAGGGTTGTCATAATTCATTGCTGATTCAAGCTCAGATAGCCTATATTCATGGGATGTGAGAGTATCATTCATCCAAGAGACAGTTTCCTCAAGAGTATGGAGGGTGTTAGCGATCTCTTTAATCTGCGCCTTTAATTCATCAATAATATGTTGAGGAAGCGTAGGGGCAGGATTTTCAGATGAAGAAGTAGGTGTTGTGGAAATAATAGGATGAGGTTTGTGCGGAGGTTGAGTAAGTCCGGAAGAATTTTCATTGTTCCTGGGATTATTATTATTATTGTTAGTCCGGTTACTACTTCGAGGAGTATTAGGACGAGAAGTGTTAGAATTATTATTGCTGTTGTTAGAGCGGGATGAAGAGGAATTATTATTGCGAGATCGAGAATTAGAACGCGATCTTGATCGGGAATTAGAATTGTCACGTGATTGTCGTGAGTCCTGTCGGCCTCGTCTAGGGCCAGCATTGAAGCGAGAGTAAAGTTTGTTAAGGCGATCATCCACTTTTCGTGTAGGGCGAGGGCTACATACAGAAGGAGAGCAACCCGAATGTCCGCAGACATGACATAAAGTGTGAGCTTCGTTAGGAGGGTGCCAAGTTAAACCTTTGCCGCGGAAAGCTACGGTCATTTCTTTCGCAGCCTCGAGAGTATCAAATGAAGAAAAGTTCAAGTATGCGTAGGGTTTGGGCTTGTAAGAGTTAATAGATAGTGGGACGTTAAGGGCTTTGGCATTAACTTGGCTAGCAATATCAAGAAGGTCGGCCTCTTTAATATTTTTTGGAATGCCGGCAAGGATAGCGACATGTTCTCTGCGGCTGTCACGTTGGGATTTCGAAAAGGATGCCGGGCAGACACGTAAAGAATTACCAAGGCAAATGATCGCCCAAATATCGTTGAATTGGGTAATTGCATCCGCGGAGGAAAATTGGATATGACCATTGTAGTAATGTTTTTTAGGGGTGAGTTTGCATTTAATCACAGTGCCATATCGGGAAAATGCCTGGCGGACTTGCGTCTCGTTGAGGAAAAGGGGAATGTCAGTAACAAACAAAGATTTCGCTTCGTCATTGAGTTTGGCATCTGCAGGGGAATAATGAGTAAAGACTAAATTAAGGAGATCTGCACGTGGAGAGCTGACACAATCGGTATAATCATGCTGATCATTAAAGAAGACAAGGATCTTTTTGTTATCGCCTGATCCATCACAACGTGCGCGGGCTCCATAGGAAGGATATCGGGAGAGTGAACAATCCACTTCGTCACACATGGAACGATTGGTGGTAAATTTAGCTTTGAACGCGTCAGGCGCGTCGCGTAGATAGGCCGCAGCATGATAACGAGAGGGTGCGGATTTGATAGCAGCAGCGTTACCATCGGGAGAAGGCTGGCGTTCTGGGATATCAAAGGCAACAGCTTTGCCTTTGCCATCAATATTGGAGGGAGCATGGATAGAAGCGTCAACAGTTTCAACCGAAGTGATAGTGTTTTGAGAGGAGGTAATTACTTGGACTTTGTTGACAGGAAGGCCAGAGGGAGCGGTAGAGATAAGGTTGGGAGCTGAAGCAGAAGGTGAAGTTATATCAACATTCATAGCGTCATCAGAGACAACGCGTGAACGTTTGTTAGGCGCGCCAGCGGTACTAGTGGGAGACAAAGGTCGGTCTCCAGAGGGAGCAGAAGCAATAGGACGCGGTGGTGGTGGAATATCCGGGTTAATAACAGAGGGAGCTGGAGGTGTAGACATAGTATAAAGCTCAGTAAAGAGGAAAGCAACTGTGGAAGTATTAGTATATTTTGAACGAGCACTTAGAAATTTTTGAACGAAAATTTCAAAAATAAATTTTATTAGTATTTTCAAAAATTCAGGAAAGAGTTGCGATGATCCTCATATTTGGTGATTATGAAGAGATGTGACTATATAAAAAATTTCTTATATTTGTATATCATAATTCCGGCCAAAAATTAACATAATTTTAGCCAGAATTATACTTAAAACTTTATTATATCGTAACTTCGCCAATATTAATCGTAGAGAGATGATCTTACCGCCATTCGATTCGTCTTGATGAGACGGTTCTAATGGTATAAAATACGTCGAAATCCAATCACTAGATTAATTTCCGAAATTAAAAAAATATTANTAACTTCGCCAATATTAATCGTAGAGAGATGATCTTACCGCCATTCGATTCGTCTTGATGAGACGGTTCTAATGGTATAAAATACGTTGAAATCCAATCACTAGATTAATTTCCGAAATTAAAAAAATATTAATGGTTTTTGTGTAATAACTCTGCCAAAATTGATCCTAAAAAGACGATCTTACTACCATTCGATTCGTCTTGATGAGACGAATCTAATGGTATAAAATACATCGAAATCCAATCACTAGGTCAATTTCCGAAATTAAAAAATATTAAATGGTTTTTAAGTAATAACTCCGTCAATATTGATCACAGAGAGATGAGCTTACCACCATTCGATTCGTCTCGATGAAGCGATTCCAACGAGCTATAAATCGTCTTTTTACAATCACTAGGTACCGAGAAATTTAGCAAAATGTTAAATGGCGCAGTAAACGTAAATCAAGAAATATTATAATGCCGATGTTTAACATTTTGTTGAATAACTCATCAGCCAGTGATCGCAAAAGGATAAAATACCACCATTCGATTCATCTCAGTGAGACAATTCTAACAAGCTATGATACATCTCTGTACGATTATTAGATGCCAAGTTATTTAATATATTCTTTATATACAGTAACTGTGATTATAAACAGTTCTTTTTAATATAAGATTTTTGAGGATAGGTGTGATAGTGACTATAGATAGATTGTGACTATATAGGATAGTTTTTAATAATAAAGTATTTTGAACATTCAACTGGTGTGACTATATAGTAGAATGTGACTATAACGGGAGTGACTATAGAGTATACTTAGAGATTGTTATATATATACATTTATTAAAATCTTCTTTAATTATTCATTTTTAAATAATAGGAAAGGGCATAGTGTATTATTTGATTTAGATGCAACAAATTTTCCAAATTCTTTTCCACTTGATTTCATGCACCTTATATATGAAAATATAGCTGGTTATATATTCAAGCTTTGGACTGGAAATTTCTTTCAAAAGGGTTATGAAGATAATAAAGATTATGTTCTTGACAAAGCTATATGGAATGAAATTGGGAATAATATGAATAATGTTCGGAAAACAATTCCAGCTTATTTGGGACGCCCACCACGCAATATAGTACTTTATTATAATGGATATAAGGCTGAAGAATGGTTTACATGGATTACATTATATTCTTTACCTCTTCTAAAAGATAGAATGCCAATAAGAAACTATGAAGGATGGGCTAATTTTGTTAAAGCTGTACGTTTGTGTAATAAATTAGTGTTAACATCACAAGATATAAAAAATATTTGATTTTTGTTTTATTCTTTTTATATCTATTATGAAAGGTATGTAAATATATTATTTAATGTAATTTTATAATATCTTTTTACTAAAAAAAATTTTTTTTATTAGAGAGTATTATTGTGGTAAAGAAGAACGTATTAGTACTATGAAGCTGTGTTTTCACAATATACTACACACAGCTGATAGTATTGAAAATACTGGCCCATGCTTGGCTACTTGGCAGTTTCCCATGGAACGAGTATGTGGAATGCTTGTTCCTTTAGCCCGATCAAGATTCCACCCTTATAAAAATATTATCAATAATATTTATATTTGGGAACTATTCAATTATTTACAATTTTATCAAACTATTCATACAAAAATTTTTTCTTCTCAACAGATTAATAAGAATGAAAAAAGGAATGTATTTTCTCAAGATGGTGTTAATGAAGAGTTTTATTATCCATCAGTAAATTATAAACTCAGTCAATTAGAATTAAAAAAAATTAAAGAGCATTTTTCTGTTTATTATAATGTTAAAAATTACAGACTTAAGTTAAGGCATAGTATTATTTTATTTTATTTTAATAAATAAATAGGTAATATTTAACATTTTAACTGCTATTATAGAACCTTTCAATGTATGGTACAAAATTTGGACGTTTACTTACAAAGGATGGACATTTCATTGGCTCAAAATGGATTAAAAAGAATAAAGATTGGGCTCGAACTAATTATTCAGTTTTGGTATGTATTTATAAACAAATGTAATTCTTTTTTAATTAAATATTAATAAAATATTATTGATAGGCTATCATGGAAGTAGATAAATGGGCAGCTTATCTAAAAAGACCTCCTGAATTTATATTACAAAAATTTTACGGGAATATTGAATATTATTTAACATATGAATTTGAAGGAAAAGTTCATATGCTTGCATATATTCATTGGACCACGAATATTACACCCCATTCAACCGATCGACAAAGGTTCTAACCTTACATTTCATATCTCAAGTGTCTAGGTTATATCCTTCGTGGTCTGCCCATGGTTTTAACTCATGTTCGTGATATACTTTGACTTGTCATGCTGTGTCATAGAAACTAATCATGCTAATTAATTTAATCCAACAATATATTATTATACTCACTTATAGTCATATACGGACATTTATGTCCGTGATATTTGTTGATGATGCTCCTTGTCATATACGACCATGATATTTGTTGTCAATTGCTTCTGTTGATACTCCT